GTCCATTGCTTTTTTAAAATTTAAGGATTGACCTGTATTTACTTTCCAAGTACAGCAATAAAAAACATATCAGAACAGCATACCATTTGACGTTTGAAGAATCTAAACATCATTTCTGCACCGAAGGACTAATGGTCATCATCTGTGGGCCTCAGACCGAAAAGGTCAATGGACAGAAAAAAAATAGCAGCAAGAAACGCACACACACGCAAGGGCAGTTTGGATGCCAGTGTCACATTGTACATCAGTTTTACAACAATGTTGGCCTTTGTCAACATTTCCTAAAGGAAAAAATCATAAGGCAGCAAGAGCAAAGAACTGCAAATGAACAAAACTAGAAGCAGGTTAAGACCTCTGTGAAAACATGAGAGACTGAATCTTTTTACTTCAAAAGACAATCCAGTTCTGTATTCCCTAGAGAATTGTTTCTTTTTTCTTTTTTTCCCCATCTGCTACTTCTGATGTCTTCAGTTTGTCCAGAGTGGAAAATTTCCTAATTTCTTACTGTCTCTGGGAATTTTCAACTCCAAACACCTCACAGAAGCAACCTCAGAAATTATATCAGTGTGAAATTTTGTTTTGCATTAAGGTGTTTCATTAGCTGCAGAATAGCAGACAGAAAAGGCTTCACCATTTCCATTTTGGACTCGCAAAAGAAAATGCAAATGATCAGATCTATTATGCTTAGTGCTGAATGACTACTTTACATCTCCTCTTGCCGATTACTCAGATTCTATTAAGGCTCTTTTTCCTTTTGCTGGTATCTTTCTTAATGTGGTGTTGAGGTGATGTAATGCACCTTTTATCACTGACTTGCATATGGGACAGGACTTATATATTAAAACCCGGTAGAGCTTAGTATCCTGAATTCTTTGGCCATAATATTCATTGATTAAATAAAAACCTGCATAAGAAAATAAAACCGAAGAATTTTAGCATGCAGAAGGCTCCCTTAGTATAGTATGTTTTATACATAGGTGAGGTATTTCCTTGTTCTTTTGTTTTTCTTTTATAAACATCATTTTCCCTTTAAATTTTGTTCTTTGAACTGTGCTTCACAATTTTTTCCTCACAATGCAGTTATGAGATTTATTAATTTTGTTTTTTGTTTTGAAAACCTCATTTTTTTGCAAGAGATATAGTATATCTTGTGGCTGCTGCAGGTTACATGGCTTATTGCTATAAAGATAATAACTTGTAGTGGCTTTACACAGATTTTTAGAATTTTTTGTTTTATTTCTTTCCAGAAAGAGTTGGTTATAGCAGTGAGCGAATAGCTTATAGAAAATCAGGGTTACAAAATTAAAAAAAAAAAGGAAAGGTAAAGGAAGACTGTTCTCCATTCTTTTCAAATCTCCCATTGGAAGAATGAAGTATTGTCCTAAACTAAATGTGCTTGCTTCCCAGCTTTCTCTGAGTAATGTCCAGTGAGTAGCTCTTCACTGCCCTGACTTTGATAGTACAAAAGTTTCTGCATTTGTTTGATATTACAGATATTCACATCAATATCCGGGATGTCAGATGAAAGCCAGTTAAGTTTCATTCTGAATTATTTTAAATCAGCTCTCTCTGACAGCACCGTTTGGCAGTTTGGCAGTTTTTCATATTTCTTTTAAATTTTAATTATAACCCATCAAGTCTTAAGCAATTACTTCTGGGTTAGACTCTTGATGAATGTCATAGCAGGGTGTTTTAATTTAATGGATCCAGAAAAACATCTGTTTCTAATATTTTAAAAGCCAATTTATATGGAAATTCGTTTAATGCACAGTCAATACACGGAGACTTGAAAAATCAAAATGGAAAATCAAACTTCTGTGATGTGCTCAGTCTTCTGTTAACAAAGGATTTCACTTATGATAGGTTCAGCCGATACTACTTAACTCTCAAACTATCATAGTTTAGAAAAAGGTAGCAATTTACTTCTCATATGCATGAAACAGAGAGATTGTTTGCCTAAGGCTGGTTCGCTCTCCATGACAGGGACTCGGTTTCCTCTGGTCTCCTCTCTTTTTACCTGGGATTCTTATCCCTACAAATACCTTATGGCCCAGTGCTGGAACTCTGCTATTACATGCTATTTCATGTAGCAGGAAGGAGGAAGGGGCAAAACGAGGGCAAGAAGGTCAACTTTCCCTTCAGGACGCACTCTTATTGTAGTAGCCAAAGCTAGTTATGTGACAGTGTTTAGCATCGGAGGAAGTGCCTGATAACCACGTATTCACCTGAAGATTAAAATTCTATTGATATGGAAAGAGTCTAGACGCAGGGAGATGATGAACTATCTCTGCTATGTAGTAAAAATTTTAAGATATGGTTTTAACAGATCTACCTTTTGGATAATGTTCCTAAATAGACAATATATCAAAGAACCAGCATGGTATTTGCCAAATAGTAGATAATCATTAGGTACTGATTGATCTGTTTTCATTCTAACTGCTAAATGTAACAAATTTCAGAAGTTAAGGATCAAGAAGACTTCAATAAGGGACTTTTAAATAGATTGTAGCCCAGTTTTTTATTCTACTTTATCATAATCATAATAACAGCTAATAGGGCAAAGGTGTCATTTGTAGTAGGTTGTTCAGAATGCTCATGTATCTGCAAAGCAATGCTTTTGCTTCTCTATATAGAAGATAAATGAACACTTACAAATGTTTGTTAAGTGATTCCAATTAAGGTTGACTATTATCACATAAGCTGAAGTTCACAGAGGTTAATTAAGAAGCCACTTAGAGAAGCTATTGGAAACTACTGTTGCCCAGTCATTTGATTCCACTTGGTGTACTACCTGTTTCCTCTGGCTATCATTTTGGTTGTGTTTCTTAATCTGTTTGAATCACCATTGCATTTTCTTTTAAATCTGGCAGTAAATTACTGACCTGGGGCTCACGAATGTTTATTTCCCCTTAGCTTGTCAATCATGGCTTTTTCCAACCTGAATTTTTGTAACATTTATATGGAAGTTTTTCTCTGCTCACAGCTGCCTCATACTGAAAGGCAGAACTGGTAAAGCAGCTACAGGTAAATGCCAGTAGGGCAGCCTCCCTTCACTTACTCTTCAGCCACAATGACCTGAACTTCTCAGAGCAGCTCTTAACAGTAGACCAGGCAAGAGTTTTCTAGTTGGGATGTCGCTGTCCTGCTCCTTCTTACTCATGTGCCCCTTTTGTGTTTCTGGGAACAGAGGGCTAGGTCCACTATGATTACAAAAAACTGCAGATTCCACCCTGCTTCCTCAGAATTTCCAAACCGAGTCCTCCACAAGTATACCATATCTGTGTATACCAGAAGTATTGATTCCTTAATATTAGCCTTTATATTGACTTTTAAATTTTTGACAGCTTCATTCTGAGAAAGCCTTAGAAAACCCGTTACTAATAAGAAAATTAATTTCTCTTGCGATAGACATCTCATGAAATATAAACCTTAACATTGTGTAGGGTTTGTCTTTTTATAACCCCCCAGCAGTATATACTTCATTTATTGGGAAGAACATAATAATGAAGGAATGCACAAGCCACAAAACTCATTCTGCTTTTTCAAATTTAGAAAAGCTATGATTTTTTCTTAACTGTAACTTTTTCACCTGAGTGATGTGGAGAATAATATTTAACTCGTCAATATTGTTCCAAACTTTTGATAAAAAAATATTGCCAGGAAGTTTGGTCCAGGAGTTGGCAGAGAACGAGGACTCAGGAGATAGTAGTGCCTACCGTGAAGTTTCTTTGGAGATGCCAAGTAGATGAGCCTAGAACTTTTGAGTCTCAAATCAGCAGACATAATAATTTCTACAGGTCGAGGCAAGACCTCTGAGAGCAGAGAAGTGCGAAATGCTGAGTTTACTATGAAGGAAGAGGAGCATCTCCATGCTGAGAGCCTGTCCAGCCAGTCTTGCCTCCGTCTAGGCCTTGCTGTTCTTAGGCGCTTTAGCATTACCTTGGAGCTTATTAGAGACATACCGTCTGTCTTAGCTGCTCTTCTCCTTGATCAGATAAAATACCTGGCACCCAGTGTTAAAGGAGAAAGTGTCATTGCAGCTCAGTGTGTGCAGGTTTCAGTCCATAGACGGCTGGCTCTGAGACAGGGTGACAGGGTAGAAGGGAATCGAAGGGAGACAGAGTTTGTGGTGAAGCAGACAGGCAAAAGGCAGCAGAGCAGCAAGTGACCAGTGAGAACCGCAGCAATCCTCTTTCTATCCTTTATATACTACCCAGGCTATCTGCCCTTAGGGCTGGTAGCCTCACCCAATTTTGGGAGCCTTAATCCTAGTACCACACCATCTGTCCATTCCAGTGTAACATCCTTAATTTCAGCATCAGACTCCAGAACCAACCGCCTCTGAAGAACCTACCTATGGCTGTATGAGGCGGTAGGCGAACATTAACTCGCAAGCCATAATACAGCTAGGCTTCTCCCCAGAACTGCTCAATTCAAGCCTGCTATTTAGCAAGATTCCCTAGGTGATGTGTGTGTGTGTGTGTGTGTGTGTGTGTGTGTGTGTGAGAAACACTGTTCTGGGTACTAGGATTTGACCTAAAATTTACCTTTTAGTAGAGGACCAGTTCCCCTTATAGACGATCCCTTACACCAGCGCCACCTGGTTGAGAATGCAGAATCGCAGACCTTAAGTGGACATGGAGCTGGAATCTGCATTTTTTAGCCAGTGTGCCACACGGTTTCCAGGGCAGTGGTTGGGCAGCTGTTACCCTTGAAGCTCAAGTCATTGACAAAAACAAAAGCAAAAACAAAAACAAAAACCCTGTTTCTTTTCAGTAAGCATCTGCATTCAGGAAAAGTAGTGCTTTCCTGGTGGAGGTGCTAGCAGGCACCGGGAGGGAGATCTGAGTCACTTTGGCACAACGGAGATCCCTTCTCAGCGCCACCTCATAAAGAAACTTCTGGAAAAGCAGTATCTCAACAATGTCATTTATTATTTGTTTATTTTCCTTTTGCATTTTACATTTGATTTTTAAACAAAAACACATTTTGTTTTCTAGCCGTGCTATCAAAACTAATCAGGACCTCCTCCGAGAAACTCCATGGACCCACATTTTCTACAATGATTTTTGGGGGACGCTTCTCACACACAGTGGCAGCCACAAGTCCTACCGGCCGCTCTGCACTCTTTCCTTTCGCCTGAACCATGCCATCGGAGGCTTGAACCCCTGGAGCTACCATCTCGTCAACGTCCTGTTGCATGCGGCGGTTACCGGTCTCTTCACTAGCTTCTCCAAGATCCTCTTTGGCGACGGATACTGGACCTTCATGGCCGGCCTGATGTTTGCTTCCCACCCCATCCACACAGAGGCGGTGGCAGGAATCGTGGGCCGGGCTGATGTCGGGGCTGGTCTGTTCTTTCTCCTCTCCTTGCTGTGCTACATTAAACACTGTTCTACAAGAGGCTATTCAGCCAGGACCTGGGGCTGGTTCCTGGGGACAGGACTGTGTGCAGGGTGCAGCATGTTGTGGAAAGAACAAGGAGTGACTGTTCTCGCAGTCTCAGCAGTTTATGATGTCTTTGTCTTTCACAGACTGAAAATGAAGCAGATCATACCCACCATTTACAAAGTAAGTGATTGTTAGCTCTTGAGCATTGGATTTCGGAGTAATATACTTGCTTGGTTCTTGGCCGCCATTTAAAAAGCAAATTTGTTCCTCCTCAAGCAGAATTTAAAATAAGTTTCTTTTTGATCTTGGGCAAGTGGAAGTGTCCTGTTTGACCTTTGTCTGCTAAGGAGGGTTTTCAGTCACTGCTTGTTTTATTTCTCAGGTTTCTTAAGTGATTTTTATGATTTCAAAGGTACCAAAAGAATAATTTTGCCTTATTAAGAATATCCATCTTTATTCATTGATTTTTAATTCATTCTTTATTTCTGCCAAATTCCCCCTAATCCAATAAATTGCCTATAATTTATTTTTATAAAAATAACAGCCAATAAAAAGGAATTAGCTGCTGGGCTGTATGGAGGGGAAATCCTCTACTGTTAGTTAGCATGACTTTTCCTGAGTTTGGAAAGCAGCGGCAGCAGACTGCACTGGAAGTTGACTTCCTAAACAGTGACTCAGAGTCACCTTTTCCTTGTCCGAGGACAAGGATCAGAATAGAAAGTGCTTGCCATAAGCTATGCCTCGGGGCCAGTGTAGACCTTTGCCTCTGGGCTTCATGTTGGTTCCTCTGACCTGCCTTATTCTGTGGCTACAGAAGCATTTTTGGATGCCAGTATACTTCAGAGACTGAGGAGTTAGTTGCTAGAGCACTGAAGGGGCTACTGGGCAAACCGGGCCCCTGGAGAAACTGCCTGCCTATTCTCTCCCCTTCCTGTCACTCAGAAGACTCACCTTGTTTTGAGTTAGGAATGAATCTGGCCAAAGTTTGGAAATTTCAGAGTTTGGAAACTTCAGACAAACTTCTGCTTTCCTTTGTGTGTGTGTGTGTGTGTGTGTGTGTGTGTGTGTGTGTGTGTGTGTATGTGTGTGGTACTGGGGATTGAACTCAGGATCCTGAGCTTGCTAAGCAAGTGCTTATTCTACTAAGCTGTCTCCCCTGCCCCCCTCCTTCCTTTTGGACACAAGCAAGTTTCCTTCCTTCCTTCCTTCCTTCCTTCCTTCCTTCCTTCCTTCCTTCCTTCCTTCCTTTGTTCGTCCCTTCCTGAGACAGAGTCTTTGTATGTTTCCCAGGCTTGTCTCAAACTGGTACATTCATCTGAACTCTCCTGCCTCTGCCTCCTGAATATCTGGGGCTGTAGGCGCTGACCACTGTACTTTTTTGGGTAGGAATTATGGCTTTAGAAATTTGCTGTGAGGAAGTCATTCGTTTTCCTAGATTTGACTACCTTTTCTGCCTTACTTCCCAATTTTGCTCAAAATTGAATTGGAAAGAAATTAATGAAGAAAAAAATGAGGAAAATGGAACTAAAACACTTGTTGACCATTTTGTTCACATAGTAGAAGAACTATAGCTGTGCTTTTGCTTTGTGGGAAATGTAACCTTTTCACTTAGGATTCAGCTACCTACAACTTAATGAAGTGCTTCTGGGATTCCAATTAAATGCTAAAACTTTAAAGAACATTCTAGGTAGAGTTTGATTCTTAGAACCAACATATGGTTTGAAAGTTAAATTCGTCATTTAGAAACAGTTTTATTTCTTTCAAGGAGATTTGGAGAGAATAATTTTTTTTTCTAGAATGATGTCATTGACATAACACACTTTCTTGTTTCCTGAAAATACAAATAGAATACTTTGTCGTTTTTGCAGGTTGCAGTCTTCCAACACAGGCCCAGTAATGTTTTGTACCTCGTGCTGATAGCCTATGAAATCTGGTCTCACAGAATTGTTTATTTTAGGGCCAGCAAGATAGCTCAGTGGGCTAAGTGCCTGCTTTGGCAAGTGCAGGGGCCAGGGTTCGAACCCCGGTCCCACATGCCATGCTGGCCCCACCCCTGGGGCACTCAGCAGGTGACTGAGTCTAGGCATGGCGGAGTATGCCTGTAATCCCAGCATTGTGGAGGCTGAAAGCAGGAGGATCACTATGAGTCTGAGCTGTATAGTAAGACCCTGTACCAAATACATAAATGAAAAAAAAAAGTTTGTTTTGTCATCTCATTAATACATCAATTCAGGATTTGCTTTTGAATCTTTTTGAAGGTTTTTTTGGGGAAAAATTTCAATATATCTATCTATCTATCTATCTATCTATCTATCTATCTATCTCACTATTATTTCAAGCTGGCTTGAACTCACAGCAGTCCTCCTGCCTCAGACTCCTAGTGCTGGGATTACAGGCGTGCGCCATCACCCCCAGCTCTAGGCATATGTTTAAGGGCAGAGTTACTTACCATACAGTGACTTACCATACGAATAGTGTAGACAATAATCAGGACATACTTACAAAATTATTCATCTTTTAAAGTTAAGATTTACCTCAACATTCTGTATTTTTATCTGTCAATCTGACTCATATGACTGCTGCTTGATAAAGATGAGAAATACCTTTGGCAAAGAAACTCCTTAGAGAGGGTCGAGGTCCCTGTGTTATGGAGAAGGACTTAGTCTTATTCGAGGTTCAGTGTCCTGAGGCGACACTACTTGTCCTGCCCTTGCCCATCCCTGCTGCTGGTCAGGCAGCCACAGTAGTGGTTGTGGGCGTCGGGCTGCAAGACCCTTCATCTGAGCGCCCCTTCCTAACCTTAGGTCTTTCAGTTGTTCTTCTGGCTGAGGCTGAGTTTGCCCAGTAGAATTCATACTTCTGACTGTTTAGAAATGCTTTTACTATTCTCTAAATGTATGAAGGTAAGATAAACATATAAAACGTCAGATGAATGCTCAGTAGTCAGGAAATAATGTGGAATGCAACCTGGAAGCTTGGTTATTGCTATATGTCTCTTCCTCTGGAAATGAAGAGAGTTATCCTTGTTTCCTGGAGTTGGCATGATTATATGAGCCGCATGACGTTAAGTGCGAGCTGGCGTACCCAGCGCAGTATTTGGAAGACAGTGTATACTGGTGAAGGAAAATAAGAAACATAGATGGAAATTGTAATTTTTAATTTTAAGAAAGTCATGATGAAATGATAAACCTCAAGTAGTTCTTAAGTGTCTAGAGCATTGATAGAAGGTGAAATGTGACCTGCTTAGAAATTAACCGATGTGCAGTGTACATGTTAGCACGTCTTTGATTTAGAATCTCTGACTAAGAAGCTTGTGGATTGCATAGATTGTTTACACAACTTCCGGAAAATCCCATACTGTACCAGTGTAATATATGGATTTCTATGTCTGGTATGAGTTATAAGTCATTCTTCCTGAAGGAAGTAGATCAGAAAACGTTAGAGGATCCCTTTTAACTAGTCTTAATTATCTTCCCAGTTAACTCCACATCCTGGTTAGGGTGTGCCAGATGACATAAACTGCCTTACCCTACTAGAATGACACAAATGTAAGCAGAAAACTCGAGGGCACAAATGTTTTAGCTTTGTGATACAAATTAGGGAATTGATCAAATACTGAAAACCTTAAAATGGGTGCCCATGGAAAGCTTGTTAGAAGGCAAGCATTTCTAGTTTTATATTGTGACGGTGATACTTTTATCACAGCAGACATACTAAGCATCTTTTTTACCACAGTAGACATACTAAGCACTGTGGTTCTGATCCTGGAGCTCTTGTTGCTGTTGTTATTGCTTAGGGGATTGGGCTCTGAGCCTCGTACCTGCGAGGCAGATGCTCTACCGCTGAGCTTCACCCCCTTTCCTTTTTATTTTTGAGAAAAGTTCTTGCAGAATTTTCCAGGATGACCTTGAACTTGTGTTCTTCCTTTCAGTCTCCTGAGTAGCTGAGATTACTGACACGTGCTAGTGTACTCAACTTAATTGTAAACATTTATTTAGATACTGTTCTGCTTCCCAAGCTCAAGTGTCTCACAGGGCCATGCAGAAAAGATTACGTTGAGCGGCGACGCTCTGCCGCCACTAGTCTTTTCTATTCCATAATTGCATTTTTTTAAAAAAAAAAAAAAAATCAGGTTTCTATTCAGTAGCACTTATGATTTCTTTAGGAACACAACAAATCTTTTGTGGTGTCTCCTGTTTTTTAATATTCATTGTAAATTTAAAAAACCAGCAATCGCTGTTTGGGCTAGACTGAGTATTTGAGATGCTAAAATTTGGCTAGTTTTGACTCCCAGACTTGTTATAAATGATGCACGTTACAGTGGTTTTTCTAGCTCTGCAAAAAGCATATTGAAACTTACGTTTTTCTTTGCTAAAGTACATGAGAAATAGTAAGTTCTTGGCATATAGCAGGTATTTTATTTAGTATTTAATGAGCATTTAGTGTGTTTGTATGTGCCAGATTCTGCGCTTAGCATACTCAAATGTTAACACATTTAACTTAACAACTGCTTGAGAGAAGCAGTAAGACTTGCAAAATAATGTCGCTGGACACTGACAAACTATAATTTTGTCAGTAGTTAGATATGTCAGAACACATTACATATAAAAGTCTTCAGAAATGTGTATGAACAAACGTGTATGTTTTAAAATAGTGAGTGTGAGCCTCAGAATTCTGTGTAATGTGGCCCTTAGTTATCCTTGGCCTGTAGTAAGGCACCCGGCACATGGTCGGTGTGCTGGAAACCATGTATTCACGCTGAAGACGTTCTCTTTTCATGCGGCTGTAGTGTTGGAGTGAAATCTGTCCCCGCCCCTGTTTTCAGTGATAATTTCATTACCGGGTTCTTGGGGTCTGGAAGGTGGGACTGGAAGACACATACTTCAGAAAAACAAATTTTCTTGACCTCTTATCAAATGATTGTTTAGCAATCCTTATGTGCTTTCATTTACTTAGTTTTACGTGGTCAAAAGTGAGGGTAGTGGAGCGTGGGCATACACTGAAAGTAGCCTTGTAAATAAGTACCAGAGTTTTATCTGCCCTCAACTTTTTTTACAAGCCTCCCATGACCCCAAGAGGTATATGGATAATAAAATCAGTAAAAGCAACATTTTTCTTAGTCAAAATCAGGCATTACTTGTCTAGTGGCTATTTTCTGTGCTTATTTAACATCTGTTAAC